TTTGATGATCTGGCATATGTGACCTTATCTTCTCAATATCTGCATTACGTGATAGATCATCCCATGTTGCATGACCAGAAATACCTGAGACTCAATTGTTTGTATCATTTTGGATCAAATGACTGGGGAGTGATTGACTCATGTACTTGAACGCTTCACAGTGATCTTCAATCTCTGTCTTTATACAGAGGGTCCTGTTCCACTAACAAACTATTACAAGAATAACATATAAAAGAGTAAGGAGAGTAAGGATATGTGTATTTCTGGACCTTGCATAGTTACGTAGAAACCAAGGTTGAAAAAAGACTCATGTCCATTGAGTTCGATCTTCAAAAATTGAAATTCAATGAGTATGGTGAGAACAGGAACAGCTATGAAATTGCTGTTGGAAATGTACAACTAAGATGTAGTTCAATACTGATAGATTTTAGATATTTAAAATAATACTGAATACAAATATTAGAAAATGTATGTATTTCAGTTTGACCAGAACTTTAAAGTCTGTATGATTTACTTTGGTTTTTGCTTAGATTATTTCCACAAAACTTTAATGAACTTAAAAAAAACAAGCCTGAGAGACTATTGTGAAAATAGAAGTGCCCATTATTAAGAAGGCACGTTGTATATATTATGTATGTGTGTCTTTTCATTCCTTCACAAACCTCCCCTACTCCCACCTCCTAACCCCACCCCCAGTTCCAACAGGAGGTTAAAATTACATTTTCCAAAATTAATTTTTCCAATTATTTGTAATATGGTAATTATAAAGGAGAGGTTTTTGAGACTTTAAGAAGTCTTTCTTATAACACAGTGAATTGATTTGTTAATAGTAATGATCTAGGAAGATTTTGTGAGGGAATGAGAAGGCATAAAATGGGTGATAATCTGTGAAGATAAATTTTCAATGAATGGTCTTGATACTGAGCAGACAAAGAGGTCATATAAGGAAGACATGTCTAGACTAAGCCTGTGGAAGACAAAAGAAGGCAAACGGTTTGCCAGATGTAAATCATATTGGGGAATATAAAAAAAATAAGATAACATTCAATATTTGAGCCATGGAGAAAAATGTTTGGAGTATATTTAAAATTATTGATATTTTCTTTTAAAATGATTATCAGTAAGAATTCACAGAATGACATAATCATATACATATATAACTAGAAAATAAAACACAACAAACCATTAAATACATTTAAAAAAACAACAACTTTATATACACTTTATTTATTTTTTCTTTTGGTATTGGGATCATTGTCTTTTATACTGCATAGGATTTGCTTTACTTTCTTCCTCCCATTCTATCAGTAAAATCATTTTTCCTTTAACATAATTTTTACATAAAGACACCAAAGAAGATTGGCCACAAATGCCATGTTCACTCTAGATATACAGCTCATTCATTATAATGTGGCACATTTATTAAATCTGTATACTAGAGGGCATGCATTTTCAAAGTGTTCTGATATTAAAATGTTGAAATGATCAAATTATATTTAACCCCTTGACGACCGATGACGGTTCAGGACCGTCATTGGAAAAATCCGCTTGGGGACTGATGACGGTCCTGAACCGTCATAACGGTCTGGGGCTACTTACCTGATCGCCGTCAGTCCCCCGGTGGCGATCAGTGCTCTTCCCGGTCCAGGGGGACTGCCTGTCTGCCCGGGCAGTCTCCCCTCGGCAGATCAGGACCCCGCGGCCACGTGATCACTCGATCACGTGGCCGCAATAGGTCCCTGTGTATCTGCCTGCATGGGGACTGTCTGTGCTGACAGGCAGTCTCCCTGCAAGTAGAAAATCAGAAAAAAAAGTTAAAAAAATAAAGCAATCAGTGTAAAAAAATAATATGTATATATATATATATATATATATATATATATATATATATATACATATATATATATATATATATATATATGATATATATACATGTATTATATCAATATATAATATATGTATATATATAATATATATAATGTCATACTAAGTGTATTTTTATATTTATATATACGTATATTAATATAAAATACACTTTTAATTTAAATTACACACGTATATATACAATATATATTATATATTATAAATAATATGTTAATAAAAATAAATAAAAGTAAAAATAATTTTTAATAATTAAAAAAATTATATATATATATATATGTAATTTTATTCTAACAGTATTTTGATATAAATATATATATATATATATATATATATATTTATATCAAAATACACTTAGAATGTAATGATATATATATAGCTATATATATATATATATATATATATATATATATATGTATAAATAAATAAATAAAGTGTTTGTGACTAGGTGGCTCCTAAAAAAGACTGGACTTACCCCATTTTGAATACCCTGGGTTGTCTACTTTAAAAATTATGTACATGTGGAGTGTGATTCGGGGATTTATGACAGATAACGGTGTTACAATGTCACTATTGATACATTTAAAATATATAATATTGAAACAGCAATTTCCTACTTGTATTTATAGGCCTATAAAAAAGCAATAAAGCATGTAAACACTGGGTGTTTTTAAACGCGGGACAAAATTTTTAATCTATTTAGCAGTTTTTTTCATTAGCTTTTATAGATAAGTAAAAGATTTTTCAAGTAAAAGTCCAAAAACTTTTTCACCATATTTTATTATTTTTTTAAATAAAATATATGACATGATACAAATAATGGTATGTAAAGAAAGCCCTTCTTGTCCTGAAAAAAACAATATATAACTTGTATGGGAGCCGTAAATGAGAGAGAGGAAAATTACAGCTAAACACAAACACCACAAAAGTGTCAAAACTGCTCTGCTCCTTAACATACAACATTGCAAAAACAGGCCGGTCCTTAAGGGGTTAACAGTTATGATGTCCCAATAACTCTTTTTTTAAATACATGCATATATTATTGAACTAGTTATTGCATTCATTGGCTGAAAAAGACAACAGGATTCCTGTAACTTAAAGACATAGTAACAGCAACAAATAAAACTATCCAGGTAGTAAAATAGATTGAAAAAGAAAATCATATCTCTTAAATGTAATTGCTCTCTTATCCTTGTTGTTGCATTAGATACAGAAATGAAAAAATACATGCATTAAAGTGATTGCAATTCCTATCTCAAAATGGGGAAATATACAAGCGATTTCAGTTTCAAATAACTGATTGCTATGGTTGTTGTGCCGTTATTAATAATTCCGTAATAACTTTTATTGCATTTATCCTGCATTTCCCAGCAGGTGATCACACTCCAAGAACATCTACTACCAGGAACTATTGACATCACATATAAATACTGCTCATTGTAACTGTACTGTACTTATTTTTTAAATGTGAAAGTACAAATTTATATATATATATATTAAAATGTGAAGTCAGGCAGATTACATGGGTCTTTGTTTAAGTTTACTAACAGCCCTCGCATCCCCAGATTTTCTTTGGTCCCTATGTCAATATTAATAATAGTTTGACTACTTACATTTGGGAGATGCTATAGCAGTCCTGGCTCTATAACCACTACATCACTCTGTGTTCCTGGCATCCTAACCACTACATCACGGTGTATTCCTGGCACCATAACCACTACGTCCCTTGGACGCATACTTGTAATGAAATTTCAGAATAATGGGGAATATAAAAGTTCCTTAACAACAATAAATAACTAAGAGAAAAGTAGTTCACAACATTGCAGATATATATTGATACTACTATTCAGCAATAACTCTTCTATATGTACTAAACTTTCCTTTATGGATTACTGCAACTCAACTAGAACATTCATCCAGGACTTCCTATATGGAAACAGGGGCGGACTGACCACTCGGGCACTTCGGTCATGGACCGAGGGCCCGAGGCAGTCAGGGGCCCGGCAGCACAGCCATGCTCCAGCTGGAGACATCAGAGATCTCTCCAGCTGGAACGGCAAAAAAATAATAAAATTAAACTATTTAATTGATAGGCTGTGGGGCCCCTGATGCAGCGCGGGGCCCCACAACCTACCGCTCTTTAAATCCACCCTCCCCTCCCTCCTCCCTCCTCCCTCCTCCCATGAGACCTGGCAGCTTCACCTCCTCTCCCTCTCTGCCAGGTCTCCTGCTTCCAGTCCCGCGGTGCTCTGTGTGATGGGAGAGGCGGGGCCAGGAAGTGACATCACTTCCTGTATTCTCCTCTCACACACAGAGCCCAGCGTGGGACAGGAGCTGCAGCCTGGGAGACCAGAGGGAGCAGAGACACAGGTAGGCACCAATCACTCCCCGCCCCCCCCTTACTGTCACTAGTTACCCTCCACCCCCCCTCACTGTCACTAGTCACCCTCCACCCCCCCTCACTGTCACTAGTCACCCTCCACCACCCCTCACTCAGTCACCCTCCATCCCCCCCCTCACTGTCACTAGTCACCCTCCATCCCCCCTCACTGTCACTAGTCACCCTCCACCCCCCCCTCACTGTCACTAGTCACCTCCACCCCCACTGTCACTAGTCACCCTCCACCCCCACTGTCACTAGTCACCCTCCATCCCCCTCACTGTCACTAGTCACCCTCCATCCCCCCCTCACTGTCACTAGTCACCCTCCACCCCACTGTCACTAGTCACCCTCCACCCCCCTCATTGTCACTAGTCACCCTCCACCCCCCTCACTGTCACTAGTCACCCCCTCACTCTAGTGACAGTGAGGGAGGGAAGTGGTGACTAGTGACAGAGTTAGGGAGGGAAGGGGTGACTAGGGACAGAGTGAGGGAGGTGGTGACTAGTGACAGTCACCACCTCCCTCACTCTGTCACTGTGTCACCCCCTCCCTCACTCTGTCACTGTGTCACCCCCTCCCTCACTCTGTCACTGGTCACCCACTCCCCCCCTCACTCTGTCACCAGTCATCCCCTCACTCTGTCACTAGTCACCCCTTCCTTCCCTCACTCTGCCACTAATCATCCCTTCCCTCACTCTGTCCCTAGTCACCCCCTCACTCTGTCACTAGTAACCCTCTCACTCTAGTGACAGAGTGAGCAAGGGTGTGACTAGTGACAGAGAGAGTGAGGAAGGGGGTGACTAGTGACAGAGTGAGGGAGGGTGTGACTAGTGACAGAGAGAGGGAGGGGGTGACTAGTGACAGAGAGAGGGAGGGGAGGAGGTGACTAGTGACAGAGTGACGGAGGTGGTGATTAGTGACAGAGGGAGGGATGGGGTGACTAGTGACAGTCACCACCTCCTTCACTGTGTCACCCCCTTCCTCACTCTGTCACTAGTCACCCCCTCTCTCACTTGTCACTAGTCATCCCTTCCTTCCCTCACTCTGCCACTAGTCATCCCTTCCCTCACTCTGTCACCAGTCATCCCCTCACTCTGTCACCAGTCACCCCTTCCTTCCTTCACAGTGACAGAGTTAGGGAGGGAGTGACTAGCGACAGAGAGAGGGATGGGGTGACTAGGGACAGAGGGGGTGATTAGTGACAGAGTGAGGGAGGGGGTGACTAGTGACAGAGGGAGGGAGGGGGTGACACAGTGACAGAGTAAGGGGGTGACTAGTGACAGAGTTAGGGAGGGAGTGACTAGTGACAGAGAGAGGGATGGGGTGACTAGTGACAGTCACCCCCCCTCACTCTGTCACCAGTCATCCCCTCTCTCTGTCACTAATCACCCCTTCCCTCCCTCACTTTGCCACTAGTCATCTCTTCCCTCCCTCACTCTGCCACTAGTCACCCATTCACTCACTCTGTCACTAGTCCCTCACTCTGTCGCCAGTCACCCCCACTCACTGTGTCTCCCCCTCACTCTGCCACCACTCAACCCCTCCCTCACTCTGCCACCAGGTACCCCCTCACTCTGCCACCTGTCACCACCTCCCACACTCTTCCACCTGTCACCTTCTCCCTCACACACTCTGTCACCTGTCACATATGCATTCACACAGACACTATATATAAAAAAGCACATGTAGTCATCCAGACATGCACAAGTGCATTCACACAGACTCAAATACAAACATGCATTGATACACAGGTCTTCACAATATACACATCCAAAGGAATGCCATATTATGAGTTATATTTAACATTTATTTAATGCACATATATTTGGCCTTCAAAGGGCCTGGGATCTAATTTTGCCCGGGGGCCCCAAAGGCTCTCAGTCCGCCCCTGTATGGAAATGCAAAACTTTTAAAATCCCCCTTTCTAATTTAAAGTGATTCAGTCTCTTATTTTGCCATGTTACTGTGCCAATAAAGTACACATACATAGATGAATGTTCATGGATGCAAGCTATTATTGATCAGGTGTATCTGTGCAGAGATATAAAGGTTTGATGTGAATAACAAGGGCTAGGAATAGATCTTTGTAAGATCTGCAATGTGAGGATATCAGCATATTAATTTACACTGGGGAAATGTATTTAGAAACTTTACCTAACTGTAACATGGAAATATAGCACACTATCTATTGTATGACTTTTTATTCATATCATATCATTTACTTTTAAAGCATTGATTTGCTACATTTTCTAGATTATTAAATAATTATACTTTTACGACATATTAGTAATTAGTACATGTCCCTGGTCTGCATTGTATATTTTTTAAACAATTCTGTCTTTGTGTCGATAATGTTTGAATGTGTTTGTTTTTACTCAGCATACATAACAATTTCTTTCTATAACTGTGATCTAATGAATATAAAGGGACTCTCCAGTGCCAGGAAAACAAACCTGGCACCCCTCACCCTCCCACCTCCCATTCCAGGTTGCTGAGGGGGTTAAAACCCCTTCAGTGACTTACCTGTATCCAGCACCGATGTCCCTTGGCACTGGGTCAGGCTCTGCCAACCCTCCTCCCCCGCCGACGTCAGCTGGCGGGGGAGACCTAATGCGGATGCGCGGAAATTGCCATTCTGCTGTTGCATTGGATGAATATTTAATTTAACCTTTATGTACTAATTATTCTCGTTGTTCATTGATTCAAAACAGATTCTTAAAAAAGTCGCAGAACATATACAGGGTTATTCCCAAAAGTGTGAATTCAAGCTAAATTTAAAGTAAATTTCAAATTTAAGACCAGAGTTTTTCCAGTTTAGCTATTTTAACCTTACATTTAAAATTCACCTTGAATTCAACTTAAATGTTCACTTAAGTGAATAATCTGGAATGTAATAATTTCTATTTGCTACCAGTAAATGCTATCTGCAAATTCACTAAGAACTGCACTAAAGCTATATATCCAGTGAACAGAAAATAAATATAGCTATATTATAACTACTTCATTATATTTTCTTGTAGATAGAACTATGATTTACTATATACAGTTTATATATTGTTAGTATATGAATACCCCCATACATAATGGACTGGTAGTCAAAGGGTAAAAAGTGCCTATAAACCAATTTCATGGAAGCAGCACATTTTGTTTAAGACACTATTGATCCTCGGAATTCTGAGTTTCATTGAACAGAAGATTACCTTGGGGCAAATGCATACATTTTGTCTGCAATGTAGTTTCCTGCCGTGCAACACAATAATCAAGATTAGTATGTTGCAATATTAGTACAAAGTACAAAGAGGATTCATTTGGCATGCAAATTCAAGATACACCAAAGCTTTCTCTGCCAACTGCTGGCTGATCCGTTTTCTGTATGTTTGAATTCAAGGTTTTGCTTCCCATCTGAGTCTTTTTTTAACTCTCCACTGGGAGCCATGAAAGGTATGTAACATGAGATGCTTAAAAACAAAATTTGACATCTGGTCTTACAGGTAGGCTGCCAATTATGGCATCGTGTGGTTTCCTCTAAGCTTTTTATATCTACCTTTAACACCTTTTGCAATTATTAAAAACCAAGAAAAAGATATAGAGAATAAACAGAACCCACTAGGGGATGCAGCATGGTGCTTTTGTATTGTAAATGATCATATAATGATAACATATAATTTTAATTGAACCATGATAACCATCAATTTTTTTATTGTTTTTTTTTTCTGTGTGTATGTGTTTCTACCTCTTTTTATCCTGGTCAAAAAAAATAAAATATGTGTATGTATATATATATATATATATATATATATATATATATATATATATATATATATAGCACAAACCAAGAAGGTTATGGTGGAGAAAAATTGTGATTGAAAACCCTTTCCACCTGAAGTCAGTCGATAGTCAATACATTGTTAAACACAGATCTGCACACCAGTCAAGAGATAAGACTTGCTTTTCCCACAGAAATCTCACATTTGCAATGATGTTACTATTGCAAGGGATTCTGGGTGGACATATGCAAGTTCAATAAAGAATCCCACTTTTGTCTCATTATTCTGTTTTAAAGATGGATTTCTTGGAGTTTATGTTTGCTGTATACAACAGCTTTGAAATGCAACTCAGGAAGAGATGTAAAGCTAGTGAACCACTCATGGACAGATTTTTCATTGTTAATGTAATGAATCAGCATGAAGATGGTTACTGGCTTGCTACATATATTGTATATGTACTGCAGCTGTCATCACCTTCAGCTTTTCCTCGTGACTGCTCTAAGGTTACCAATCAGTCAGCATATCAACACTAGATTAGTAAAAAATAGACATTCTTGCAAAATAAACGTTTTTTTTTTTCAGACATGGACCTGCCTTATATAGAATGCTAGTGCTTCTATATTTCAGGCCATCGTATTTTTGTCATCATTAATATTTTGCATTTTCTTATTAATTTAAAGAAGGTGTGAACCAGACAAGGAAAGTGTTGATATAGAATATATCTGGTTTTATGGGTAAGCCAGTTAAGTTATTTCAGAAATTTACAATGGGAGATATTATGTTCTACATTGGACAGAAAAAATAGACATAAGTAATTACCATATACAGATTATTCAGTTTAGTGAGATGTCTCTCCAGTGCAGATGCATATACTATTTCCCCATAAACTGTTATTTTCTTATGGGAAGATGTCCAGAACAACACGTGTGGGATAAAGTTCACAGGAACAGTTTTTCAATGAAAAGTGAACAAGAGATTAGGATCTAACCACAAATTGAGATCCAGGCAAAAAAGTAAAAATAAAAATGCAACCTTAAATGGTGTGAATTTGAAACATTAATACTGATCACAATATTGGCTTTTTAAAAGGACACTTTGGATCCTCAAAGCACCTTAGCTTGCTGAAATGCAGGTTCTAGAAGTAAACTCAAGAACATCTGCCCCCACAGAGCATCTGCCTTGCAAATACTTCTCATTGAGCTGCATTGGGAAGTCTGTGATTGGACAGACACACAAAGCCTGGGCTCGGGAAGAAGGGGGGACTTGAAAAGGCAGCAGGGAAGAAAGGAACCACTAGCAAAGGCATCAGACATGAGAACTGCGGGTTTCTCAAGCTCTGTTTAGACATATCCCCAATGAAAAAAAGCATAATTAAGTGCATGTTTTCACTTGGGGTATATCTAAGCAGTGATTTTTGTATATTTTTTTATTGTGGACAGTCGAGTGTTCCTTTTAGGCATTTGTTTAGTTTAACTAAAATAGTTCAATGCCCAAAGGTATATCTGTCTCCCTGTCCTCTTTTCTACGTCTGTCTGGGATCTTATGCCTTTCTTTATATTTTAAAACAATCCTCTAAAACAAATATTTTATTTTTGGAACCTGTTTGATAATGATTTATGACAAAAATTCCTTTGTATGCATTCTCTTTCTTTTTACACAAGCAAAACACTACGAAAACATGCTATATCATTTGGGTCACAGAGGCTGGCCAGTGAAATGGAAACATAAAGCTTGGTGCTTTATAGCCATTTATATCACTATAAATTGTACTTTTTGCCTAACATTTAAAGATCTCTTTGGATTTTTGTTGTTTTTGTTTATGTGAGCTATTTATCACTGAAATGTTTTGTGGCATAGAAGCCGGTTAGTGCCACATTTAAACTGCTCAAAGATCGATGGGTCTCTAAGGAATTGCTGAAGAGAGAGCTGTTGACATGTTCAGTACCAGACGATATACAAGGTTACAGTGTATTTACCCAAAACCAGAGTGATCAATCCGTAACCTAGAAAACAAGTTACAGAAATTTAAGGTGAAATTACTTTGCTGCAGCTTCACAGTGTCAAACTAAATCATGGGCTTAGAAAAAAAAAAGAGAATTGTCTGTTTATTAAAGTTAAGCTGGTTGCAAAGTTATCTTTTGCAGCCAACTTATACCGATAGGCTTGGTTAAAGTGGCATGCTAAGCACTATATCCACTATATGCTTTTGTAGTGCTTATGGTAACAGGCACCCCCTCCTATACCAAGGAAAAAAAGGATTCCCAGAATAT